AAAAAAAAAAATCATATGGACATGCAAAGGACTTATCATAACAACTTTGAGAAACTTCCTGATTTCAAATGTATTATACATATACAGCTACAATGGTCAAAACAGTGTGGTTTGGCATAAAGACAAACAGATCGATGGAACAGAACAGAAACCAGAAGACATATAAACAAAATATTTATAAGTTGCAAAAGCAATCCAATAGAGAAAAGCTAATATTTTCAAGTGCTAGAACAATTAGATCTCTATATACCAAAAAAAGCTTCCATCCAGCCAGGTGCAGTGGCTCACGCTTATAATCCTAGCACTTTGGGAGGCCGAGGTGAGAGGACTGCCTGAGCCTGCGGGTTCGAGACCAGCCTGGGCAACTCAGTGAGATCTCATCACTACAATAAACCAAAAAATTAGCCAGGCATGGTGGTGCTCACCTGTAGTTCTGGCTACTTAGAAGGCTGAGGCGGAAAGATCACTTGAGCCCGGCAGGTCGAGGCTGCAGTGGCTGTGAGCGTGCCACTGCACTCTAGCTGCGCAACAGAGTAAGACTCCAACTCCAAAAAAAAAAAGCTTCCATTCATACCTTGCATCATATACAGATTTAAGTCAAAATGGATCACAGACTTAAAAACAGAACCCAAAACTATAAAACTTTTAGAAGAGAACATAGGATAAAATATTTCTGACCTTGGGTAAAGATTCTTAGATATAACACCAAAAACCCAAACTATAAAACAAAAACTAAAGAGGACTTCATCAAAATAAAAAGCTTCTCCTCAAAAGACACTGTGCGATCCTTCCGCCTCAGCTGTGGTGGCCATGAGTGTGCCACTGCACTCCAGCCTGGGTGACAAGAGTAAGACTCCAACTAGGGAAAAAAAAAAAAAAAAAAAAAAGACGCTGTGCTGGCCGGGAGCAGTGGCTCATGTCTATAATTCCAGCACTATGGGAGGTAGAGGTGAGAGGATTGTCTGAGCCCATGGGTTCGAGACCCGCCTGGGCAACTTGGCAAGATCTCATCTCTACAATAAATGAAAAAATAGCTGGGCGTGGGGACGTGCATCTGTGGTCTCAGCTACTTGGAAGGCCGAGAAGGAAGGATCACCTGAGCCCAGCAGGTCGAGATTGCGGTGGCTGTGAGCATGCCACTGCACTCCAACCTGGGCAACAGAGTGAGACTCCAACTCAAAAAAAAAAAAAGATATTGTGCTAAGAGATTACAAACCAGGTACAGTGGCTCACATCTGTAATCCTAGCACTTTGGGAGGCAGAAGTGGGAGGATTGCTTGAGCCCAAGAGTTGCCAAGACCAACCTAGGCAACATAGCAAGACCTTGTCTCTACAAAAAAAAAAAACAGCCAGGGGTAGTGATGTGAACCTTTAACCCCAGCTACTACTTAGGAGTCTGAGGCAGAAGGATTGCCTGACATGGAGCCGTGATTATGCCACTGCATTCCAGCCTGAGCAACACAATGACATTTCAACACAAAAAGAAAAAAGAAAAAGAGATTATAACTAGCCCAAATGTGTGAAAAACATTTAAAAACAACCATGTGATCTCTTCTGAATCTTATGGGGAGGAAAAAAAATCTGTGTTTATAAGCATAGGAAAAAAAAAGATAACAGACACATAGAGACTAAGAGATTTTTAGAATAAAAAATGTTAGGGTTCAAGTCTGCCACTTAATAACTGTATTTCCTGGACAATTTGGTACCTCTTGAGTTTCAGGTACCCAATCTATAAAATAGGGATAACAACAACAACTATATCACAGAGATATTGTAAGGATTCAATAAGATAATGCATATAAAGTGCTCAGAACAATTCTAACATATGGCAGGATATGTTCAATAAATGTGACCTATACAAATATTCTAATGGTGAATGTTTCCAATAATGACTTATAGGAAGTTTATACTTTTTCTTTTTATATCTCTATAGTCTAAGTCTAAATTACACATTCTTTTTTTTTTTTTTTTTTTTT